AACAGTGAAAATAAATACATGGTACTGTGCTGGAATGGTTTATTCACTACTTAAACTCTGGGTTTTTGCTGTGTTGTTTCCCGCCACCCATGAATAAGATGTTATGTTCATTACTGCCAAATCTCCCTTCAGTCTCTCCATGCTCTGATCCTTCTGTATGACTTCTTTTCTGTCATGCTTAGTTGTAGGTGTTTGACTCTGAAATGCACATGTCAACCAACATATTTCTGTTTCAGCTGGGTGATCACAGACATACTATTTCTTCTCTCTATGACTCATTTACTTTATCTGTAAAGAGGAGCTTCATCTTCAGATGAAAGACTGGTGATAATCTACTGACTTAAAAGAGCTATTCCAAGTTCTCCACTGCCTGTGTGAATTTGCATAGGTCATTTGGACAAATATGGTATCAAGGACAAAATTTCAGATGGCCTTCACCTAATGAATGCTGAATTTCTCTGAACATCCACTTGCCTTTGGGCTCATGAACAAGAAACAGACTTTGTGATGAAAATGGCACTATTTCCTCAATCATGCAGCATGGTCCATTTTTTTGTTTTGTGTTTGTGTGGAGTATTGTCCCACATTCCTTGGAATTATTGCTACTGCAGCAAGGTAGTTTACTTCTAAAATGTAGAACAACAGAAACCAGACTGTTCTAATGATTAAATTATACTGATAGTTGAAGTTTAAGTAACAGTTAATGCACTAATTTCAGTATGGGAAATACACTAAAAAAGCAGTAAGAGCTCCTCTTGATCTTTATAATTAATGAGAACTGCCATGATCCTTCAACATATTTCCACCCACACTTCTTTTTATGTTAAGAAGTATACAGGAACTCACAGCAGTCAGCTGGAAGAAAGCCTTTCACAAAGCACTTTCCAGCACACTGCACCAGCCACGTGTGCACCCCTGAAGGGTCCTGGAGCCAGATCTTGCCCGTGTTGAATACTGGCCAACAGTCTCATTTCTTTGAGTAAAACAAAACAAAGTGAGGCCTTCAGACAAGTGTACCCAACAAATGCCTGAGCTATATGTTATGTACCCAAATAAGCATCATCAGCTGTGCTGAGCATTTCTGGAAGAGAGATTAGTGGGATTCTCATCAATTAACTTTAAACATCCCATTTGGCTAGTTCTCAAATATTTCTTTAATTCGTGGATGGAAGAGAGCATCATTAGAGAGTGGATAATCCATTTTAGGTGTCTGCAGTGTGATGAGGGGAATTCCACCCCAGTGCCTGTTCCTCTGCATACATTATATAGAAAGTCTAGACAGTTGGCTCATATATAAATGTCTGCAGACGAAAGGTTTCTTTCACCTATCTAGATACAACAAAACCTGAATATTAGAAGCTTGGTGGTGGCTCTGGGTCAGATAACAAATGCCAGAAAACATGTTGCCATTTGGCTGAATTGTTGCAACTATGCAACATCTTAATTTAAAATTAAAGACTGTTTACAAGAGGTTTCTGAACTTTGGTCTTTGCCTAGAATGAGTAAGGCCTAAAGCAGCCATGGATCCTCAGGATATGAAGGTCTTTCAGCAGCTCTGTAATCAAAGGAGAAAAACAGCTTTTCTTTAGATCACTACTTTAATCTTGTTCCTCCCACCAATGCTGGAATTTCGTGTTCTGCCCCCAAATGCAGCAAGCTATTTATAGTGGCAGCCTGAATGAACAGTAGGAGCTTACGCTGTCATTGCGGCTGTACCTTTGAGACGCTGGAAATCACATCACTGAAAGTTGACAGTAATGAAGTTGCACAATATTTTCAAATGTAGTTTCTGCCACCACTCAGTTCCCACAGCACGCAGGCAGGGATTTCTAGGCATGTGGTAGGGAAAAGAATGAAAGGATTCAACTCTGAAGTCCTTGCTGGCATCTGGGGTCTTGATGTCATTTTTTCACGTGGCCTATATATGAACTGTCACCTTTAAAAGGTTGCTGCCTTTGGCAAACAAGTGCAGGATTGGGGTGTTAGGGTGTGTAACTTCCTAGTATGTGACAAGTTGGGTGTCTCATCAGCTCTTCATGGAGAGGTGTTTCATCTTCTGGTGCTGGTGAATAAAACAACAGGAAGGGTACTTAAACATTTTGGTTGCCTTTATTTAAACAACATAGATAACGGCAACACACAAAATGTTTGCTCTTTTTGTTTCCCTAGATGCAGGTGTGAGTATTCCCTTGATTTTTACATTACATCATCTGTGAAATGCTTCGCTTTGTCAGAATAACTTAAAAGAAAGCAGCAGTGAAGTTTTTTAGAGATCACAACAGCTAATGCAAATACTCATCAAATCACAATACTGGATCAGTCAAGAGGAGAGAGTTTTGACTATCTGTGAGAAGCCACTTTGCAAAACAAGATATGTATCATATCACAGAAAACAAGAAAAGAAACTATTATCAGGCAAATGTGATAGCCCAGAGATGTCAGCAATTACATACCAGCTCCCTACACATAATGGTTTAATTAAAGTCGTGACTCTGCTCATCTATGTAAAATTAACAAGTCCTCACATCTTCGTAGGCTGAAACTTAAGTGTCTCCTGTGCTCTCCTGTATCTGGCACATCAGTGCAGGGTTGTTCACCTGCACACAAGCCCCTTTGAATAAATAAATGGTTATTGGAAAATAGCATCTGTGGGATGATGGAATTTCTACATTTATAGTCATCTTGGAGCCAGGTGACAAGCAGGCACAATAAAAGCTGAGGGACAGCTTTGTGGGAGAGCACTTGATAAGTAAGACATGAATTCAAGTCTATGAGCACTTCAGTCACATCACTGCCTGAGTTCTGTCCCTGGATGATTTTTCTTGCTCTCCCTGGAAATTCCGCTGAGAAAGTTTAGTCAGAGAGGCAGATTTGTCAAAATGATTCAAGGAAATTACTTAAAAGCTGTGAAATTTTTTCTAGCCTCGTTGTATTGAAGCAGTGGGCTTGATTCTCATCCCAGAGCTGCTATGTGCTCTACAGACTACTGGCAGACAAAATATAACCCCACACTTGCTGACCTTCTTTGTCATCATGTAGACACAGGGCTGTAATTTAAACATTTATGTGGAAGTTATTTGTACGAAGAACAAATTAATGTATATAAGATTAAGCATAAAATTGCATATTTGATCAAAAATTAGGTTTAACTTCTAAGCAATTCTTAATTTCAAATCCTGCCCCGAAGCACCTGAAAATATTAAAGCAATTTTTTTTTCAGAACTGCTTTAAATTTACACTCCTCCTTTCCACATACATGCCTGCATGTAAAGCTTCTTTTTTGTCTCACAAAGGGAGGTCATCATCATTGTTCCACCACTATTTGCATAAGGAAAGAGACTTGGACCTGAGGMTAGGGACTGAATGAGCTGGCAAATCAAGGGTGGAGCTGGATAGAGAACCAAGAAGTCCTGTTGGAGTCCAAGCCTGATTCAATAGGCACCTTCTCATCTAGCTCTTCTCCTGGCTACATACTGTCTCCCTAGGCAACTACAGATTAGAGAAGAGACAAATATCCTTGTATCATGAACCGCAAAGCAATGACTTGAGCTTGGATGCAGGAAAATGTCAGGGAAAGATTGTGAACTAGCAGTTGAAGCGGAGGCGTTGAAGTCAGGTGCTTCAGGTTCTAATTTTGGYTTGGATCAGCCGTTTCACTTCTTACTTTGGCTTCCCCTCTGCAAGATGGAAAATTAGGATGCCTATGGCTGCCTCCAGAGGCTGGATTGTCTTGCTAAGGCCAGGACTGTCAAATCTCATATTCTGGATGATGCTCTGTTGACTTCAGATTTGGTGCCTCTACCTCTTTCACTTCTATCTCCCCACTGCTTTTTTTTTTTTAGCCCTTGCAGGCAGAACAAGAGCAGAGTCCCAGCAAAAAATCTTGGGATTGCTGCCAGGTGGGAGCCATCCCCTGTATACCCTGGGGCCTTCCACCGTAGCATCTGATGTGTGAAATCTCCTGGGCTGCCCCTTGGGTGATGCAGGGTGTCTGTAGAGGTAGTAAAGTACACTGAGTAGAGTTATGGCCCTTGTGCAAAGCACTTCCACTCCTGCCTAAATTAGGGATGCAGTTTCAGGGCACAGACAGTAGACAAGTGCTGGAACACGTTTAGAGAAAGGCAGCAGAGCTGGAAAGGGTCTGGCACACAAGTCTGATGAGGAGTGGCTGAGAGAGCTGGGGGSCTCCTTTTCCTGGAGAAAAGGAGGTTCAGGGGGGCCTTCTCACTCCCCACAACTCCTGACAGGAGTGTGTAGCCAGGTGGGGGTCAGGCTTTGCTCCCAGGGAACAAGGGACAGGACAAGAGAAAATGGCCTCTAGTAGCACCAGGGGATTTGGATTGGATATTGTGGAAAATTTCCTCATCAAAAGGGCTGTGAATCCCTGCCACAGCCTGCCTAGGGCAGTGGCRGAGTCACCATCCCTGGAAGGATTTAATAGATGTGTAGAATTGGCACCTGGGGACATGGGTTAGTGGTGGCCCTATCAGTGCTGTGGGAATGATTGGAGTAGATGATCTTAATGGGGTTTTCCAACCTAAATGATTCTATGGCCCTGCTCCGTTGTATCTCTGTGCAATGTCAGCCCAGGCATGGCTCTGTGAGGGAACAGCAAGAGGTGGTGAGAGCCAAGTGATGATCACTACCTCAGCCCGGCCATCCTGGCTTTGAATGAACGAGCTTCCAAGGCTGCAGGTGCGTTCTCTGTCTGCATTACCCGTTAAATCCCGGCTAAATAGGGCTCTCTTTTTCAGGAAGCACCACCAGGTCCTACTGCCCCCGTTGTATCAATCAAAATCGCTACCACCTAAATTCAAGTGTGTTTGGAGAGCTCCTCCTTCCCAGAGCCCTTTCCCAGGGCCGCGGGGAGAAAGGCGGCGGCTGCAGCGAGCAGAAGGCGAGCTTACGATTATTTCGGGTTTTAAGGCAGGAGCGCTCGGGGCTGCGGACAGTCCGGAGGAGCCTCCGTGCTGCCTTTCCACCCTGTCACCCGGTTTCGGGGGGCGCCAGGGCCCGGCAGCCAGGAAGATTTCAGCGCGGGCCGGCCCCGGAACGGCCTTTGTTTGTGTGGGCCCGGCCGTGCGCCGGGAGGGACGGAGGGAGCGGCGGTACCGGCCGCATCCTCCCACAGCCCCGCATCCTCCTCCGCCTCCGCCGCTCCGAGCCGCCGCCCAGATCCCTCCTCCCGGCTCTCCGCTCCCTCCTCCCGCCTCACGGCTCGGCCGCGCAGGGAGTGGCAGGGCGGCCGCCGGCCGGGTTCGCATCCTGCGGCGGCACCGAATCCCCTGCCCGGCTCCGGCGGGCAGCCCGAGGGTAAGGGGGTCGGCGGGAGGGACCACAGCGCCCGGCCAGCCCGCGCTGCAACAAAGGAGGGATGAATGGAGAAGGTGCGGGAGGAGCCCGGGCAGCGGGGATGCGCTGCTCGGTAGCGATGGGAGGCTCGGCCGCCGCGCGCATTGTCCTTGGGCTGGGAAAGGCACCGAGCATCCTCGGCGGGCCGGCATCCCGGCTGTTCTCAGGCTGGGCAACACCGGCACCCGCCGCTGGCGAGGGGGGCTTCGGGGCTGCCGGGGGTGCGCACCCACCTACACCCCCAGGCCGGGTGCCGGTACTCGTGGGTCACGGCAAAGGCGCGGGTGGAGCGGCCAGGGAGGCAGCGGCCTGACGCCGTAGAGATGGAGSTGGAAGTGGGTGTCAGCATCCATGGCTTGGTGCCAAGTGAGTTTTGGGTTTGAAACGGGAGGAAAATTGTCTTTTGTCTTAGCGAAGCTTTACTGTTTGCTGGGTTCAGTCTTCTCATTCCTTTTTTCTTGATTAACGATCCAGATATTGACATAAACCACATCCTGCAGGATCTGATGTGGGTTTTGTGTCTGTTGCAAGGAGATGTGCTTCTGAGGAAGGCCCAGGCTGAGCTGCTGGCATTGGCACGGTGCTTAGGTTAGGAGCAGCCAGGCAGATGTTGCATGGCTCTGCCCTTTACATCTCCTGACACGAAACAGCAAAGGGCGTTTGGGGCAGCATCCAGGGATGGAGGCAGAGGCATGAGTTGTTATCTCCACAGTATCCAGGCAGGCTGCAKTGGCGTTTTGGAAGTGCTGGGAGACAAAGCACTGTTTCAGCATCATGTTATGTGCTGCCCTGTTCAGCATCAGTCTCACAGGCCTACAAACCTTGTCTCAGAAAATCATCCTGTTGGAGTGGATGTGAAGTTTCAACAAGTCTGTCCATTACTGCTGGCTAGAAGTGTTTCCTTGAGGGTGACTTGCAACTCAAGAATTGGTCTGCCTGTGGACAGATATATTTGGGGTGCCTGGTCAGGCTTGTTGGCATTAGTCTCTGCCCAGCTGCCTTCTAACAGGATTCCTCTCCCCTTCAGTGCTCCATTAGTCAGCACAGGCCTGTCATTGGTGGGSTGGTGATGCTTTTGAACATAGCACAGCTCCTGATCTTAAAGTTGCATCTGAGATAAGGAATTTAAAGAAACTACCTGCCTGTGTAAGAGCCTGCCAGGGATTATTAGGAAGGAGGGAGTCTGCATCAAACAGTTGTGTTCTCATGAAAGTTGTCACTGCCTGCCAGAAATCCCTGGGWGTACGGCACTTCAAAGGCTCAGCTCTGAGACATGGCACAAGTGACAAYGTTAGCACCAGCCACTGCAGCACGGCAGGGAGAAGCTGTGCTGGAGCTTGTCTATCATCTCAGGAACATTTGTGTGGGACTGCCTTCAGTTAAGGGAAACCTCATGTGTTTCAGATGATGCTCTCGGGATCAGTATGGATGGGATTATCTATTGAGGCCAAGGGTTGGTATGTGCTCCTCTAGCCTTGGAGGAGCTGCCATAATCTACTCTGGCAAGGAGCAGTTCCTGGTCTGTTTCCTCTTTCTCCCCATTTGCACTTTTTGGTTTGGCAGAAGAAGTGAGGAAGAACCCAAAGCGGGGTTTTCTGGTACCAAGGGATGTGGCTCTGTAAGAACACCCAGGCCACTTCTTCCCTTTTGCTGCTGGGTAGTTAAAATGGGATGGCATGGAYTCCATCTCCTGATTGAGGATATTTGGAAAATGCTGCCTTTGCCCATGAAACTCAGGACATTTTTTTTTTTTTGAGAGGGTGTCATAATCTATGTATAAAGTATATTCCGTACCCCAGGTACATGGTGTTGGTACCACTTTGCAGAGAGTACACCATGCACAACAAATCTTTWMAAATATTTTTAAAGCTCTGGGAAAGCCCAGGTATGGGTACCTCAACCTGCATGTGACTTGTTGCTAGCCTATATTAGACACTGGTGTGCACTTAAATATAGAGATATCTATATTTATAGAGAGATCTATTTTTTCATAGATGCCTTTTATAAATACCTTGTGATTCTTTTCCTCTCCAACTCCCAAGGGCTCTGAGCACAAGAATGACCAAAGAAGTTGCTAACATCAGTTGAGAGCATTATCTTTTTCCTCTGTTGCTGAGTTAAATGCCCCCAGTAATCAATCTCTGGTTGTTGTTCTTTTATCACTGTTCTTCTGATATTTATAGTAGAATTTCAAGTCTTGTTAGACAGGGARAGCACCTTGGCTGATAGTACTGGTCATGTCAGACTCCAGCAAGACTTGGCTTTGTTTTACTGGTCAGTTTTCTAAAACAACGAYATTAAGTTGCTGAATAAAGACAAACTGTCCAAGCTCACCTTAGAAGCCCAGGTCACAGTAAGGAATTGGGCTTGGTCTTTCTTGTGTCCTACTCTATTCCTGTCTTCTCCCTGTGGATCCTTCCCATTCTGCATGGAAGCTCTTGTCTCCATGGCTGACATTGATGGCACAGAATTCTCAGTGCATCATTGTACAAACTCTCTGTCTGCAGCACCCCCGTGCTCTTGGAGCCTTTCCCTGCTCTGCTGAGAGCAGTCTGTGTGCTCTGTTGAGTGTTGATGCTAARCAGGACAAAGCAAATTCACTTCCCTCATAGCTGGATTTAATTTCTTGCTGTTATATGATTGTGCAGTAGCTCTTGTTGTGGAAAAATTACTTCATTGCATGTGACTGATTCTTTCTGCAATATTCCCAAAAAAAAGATCCTGTTGAAAACCCTTTTAAATAAAACCTACAACAAACTCACAATGTTTCTGCATCAGACTTTTTGGAAATCATTTCCATACAGTGATACAGTTTTTATTATCCCATGCTAAATAAGTGAAACTCTGTCTATGAAACAGCCATGGTTGGTTCAGATGGAGCATAAGCAAAGAAAGATATGTGAAGAAATCAAGCTTTGTCATATTTTTTGTTGCTTTTTTTTTTTACCCCAGAATGAAGGAATAAAATAAAATGCTGACTTGGATTGGAATTGAAAATAAGTGATACTTTCCTTTAATATTTTTTTTTTTATTGAGCTAATGTTTACTCACCTGCATAGTTGCAGAGGAATGTGGCACAGACCAGCAAAATTCCATGTTGCAGGTTCTGAGCCAGTCATGGATTCTCTATCTCGTCATCCTGGTCTGCTGAAGCACAAAGGGAATCTAAACTTTGGTTTATTTTGAGAGTTYGTGCTCTGAACTCTGTGTTGACTCCCTTGATAACTCCATTTGTGCCTGGGAAAGCCAAATTACTATTTTTGAAAATATTTATATTCTGTGTCTATAAAATAAACACTTTAGATGGACTTCCTAAGTCCTTTGTTGGGTTGGATATTCAGGGAGACAGTGGTGCCATCTCTGCCACTGTTTTTCTAGTAATTTTGAGAAAAATATATTCTTTCTATCTCTTTCTCCCAAGTACAAAACAGGTGTTGGAGTTCTGACCTTCTTTGAGGTTTATGAATGAAATGCACAAGGGATGTTGGGTATGTGAATCTTGGAACTCTTAAATGCCTTTTTGGCCCTTATAAATCCCTTTCCTGTGCTTTCATACATGCTTACTTAAAGAAGGCAATGCAAATTAAATTGTATTGCCTGCTCTTGGTCGAAATTAATTTTATTCTATTTTACTGCATAACTTGCATATTGTAGTAAAGACCACATAGATATTGGTTACACTGGGAAGACTTCACAGAAACTTCAAGAAATCATCTGATCCATCTGTCTGTTCCAGGTTGGATCTGTCTTCAGTTGTCACTCAAGACAGTTTTGAAGATGTTTATTTTTCAAAGAATAATGTAGCAATGAAGGAGTTTGGGTTCTCTGGGCACTCTGGCTCAGTTTGAACTCTTTCTGTAGTGCATGTCTTCCCCTTTGYTTTGTTGTTTTCATTGTCACTTTATCTGCCTGTTTGTACAAAGGACAAACTTGTTTCACTGACAAAAACCAGTATAATTTCTTTTGCAGCATGAACTTCTGCAGCACATCCTCTGATGAGGCAGGAAAAGCTTCTGGCAATAGTCASTGACAAAGGGTTTCTCCTGTTCTTCTTCCTTTGGCATATTCCTCTCCCCTTTATCTGTTGCATCGTGCTCTGACAGCTTCTGTGTCCCCTAATTAGTGCTGGAAASTTTTCAGGAGCCTGACAGGCACAAAAAGCAGCTGCCTGTTGAAACAAACTTTCCCACCCTYTGCAAACACTGCCATTCATGACCTGCAAGTGCCTCCCCTGGATGCAGGGACTGTCCTGGCTGCAGAATAAACCTCCTAGAAAAAGAGGCCTCTCCAGTTGTATTTAATGGGCTTTTTAGCCTCATATTTGGCTGCTGTATATCACTGTACTACAGGTACTGTGCTGTCTCAGTGGCTCCTGTCAGCATGAAGCTGACCCTGGTGAGCTTCCTCCTTGGCTATATTTAGCTTTTAGCTGTTTGTTTTATAACTGAAATCCTTACTATGCAAATTGGAGCAGGTCAGTCTGCAACCTTGGATGAGTGCCTTTTCTTTTTCCTCTGGACTTTTGTTTCCCAGCTGGTAAGGTTGGCATTTTTAACTGATGACCAATCCACCAGCCATCCCTAATGGAGATATAATGATGGACAACATGGCACAAAAAGGCTGGCTTGTGTGGAATATTCTGGTGAGACACAGGAAGCGGATGTTTTGCCTTTCACTGTTCATCTTTTATGTGTCTGTTTATGCGGCCTTTTTCTGGGGTCTGTGYAGTAGCTTTTTGAACTTGCTGAGTCTCATTCATAGGAAAACTTTGTTTATATGTGTACATATATTTATGTATATTTCTAGTAAACAATACTGGCAATATCAATGCATTTTGCAAGATTAATGTTGATGTCTCTAAAGCATCTGCAAGCACTTTTCCCCTTTTTATTKCTGAATCTCCTCAGAGGACATTGGCTAGGTGCCAGGAAGATGTGGGAGCACTTCCAGCACACTTACAT